GCCCATCACGATTGCATCAATAGGCGCGAAAGCGGTGGTGCTGCTGGCGTTTGCTCTCAGGACGAGAAATAATAAGTGGTCGTTATTCCCGAGGATGTCTGTGCAAAATTGTGTTCTAACAATACGGGGAATTTCATCCCTTACGATATTGTCGCTATACAGCGATTAAGTTACGGGCGTGTAAATCTCTCCCTCTTTCCTTTTGAAATGAGAAGTAGAAATATAGCTACCCGGGCGTGGCCGCTGCGGTTTCCTCAGCTGTTGGTACCCCTTAAATTTCTCTGCTGGGATTACTCACAAATAAATCGTTATGGTTTACCTGTTCCCAGCCCCTATAATCAGGCCATCGCAACGAATGGGGTAGCTCAGATTTTAGGATGTAAAGGAATGAAAGTTTAGGGACCAATGGGAAGTATTAGAGGAAAGAATGCTCAGGCAAAGTTTGTTTATAATTTACACAGTGTAACTCTATAAGGTGCCTGCTATGTATTATCAGTTCTGTGAGCTTAAAATAATGACTCTTTAAATTGTTGGTCATAAGTGAAGGCATTTTGGGATTATTATTTAAATTTTATGTCTCATTCTTCAGATACAATATTGGAACACACAGGTAAAGATCCTATACACGATGGAAGTAAGTTCCAATATCTGTATACTGTAATTAGTTTGTTTTAGGGTAGATCTCACATTCACCCTGTTAATTCTGGTATATTTTTTGTTACACAACACACTGAATCATAAATTAACCACAGAAGCTGACTTTGTACAGCATGCTAGACTAAGGTAAAATTGGTAGTAAGTATGTGGCCAGGTCATACAACCTAAATGGGAGTAATTCAGTTCATCAAATCTTTCACTCTTTTTTCATCTTTCTGGTAGAATATGATTTTGTAAAAGAACTACTTCAAATATATTGTTGCTGAATGCATGCTGTTTCTTATGCAGCTTACCCACTTAACTCTGCTTTGATTTCTAGTCTGCGGAACAAGGCCTCTTATGAATAATAGAGCAACAGGAACTCGAATTGTAGGTGGACATGATGCTACAGTAGGGGCATGGCCTTGGCAAATTAGTCTTCAAGTTTATACAATTGGTCTAGGATATGTCCATGTATGTGGTGGATCTTTAATTAATAAAAAAACAGTGTTGACAGCAGCACACTGCGTTAAACCATCAGAGTATGTACCTTTCCATTCTAATACTTTTTCTTCAATTTAGGTATGATAAAACGATTGATCAAAGAAGCACAGACTAAATATTATATAATTGTATATGAAAAATGGGGATTTAAAGTATACCTTCCCTAGCCTATTACAGAATTGTTTGTCCTTAGAGCTTTGAAGCAGGTTTAGATTCATACTGCTTGTCAAGGATCACAAGAAGGTAGAGAGTTATGGAGGAATTCTTGGTATTTTCAACAGTTTTCTTTAATTATCTTCCTGAAAGTTTTTCACATCCAATCCTACAGTAATAAAAGACTCATATTCAGAGCTGCCAGTATTAAACCTAATTGCTTTAATGATAAATAGTTATGTGGAAGAATAATGCAAGAGGAAAAGATTGTTTTAAACATGAGCCATTTCCCCTTATTTTAGAACTTATCTCTGGTATACCACATATTATTAGAGATTCATTTAAAAAAAAAACACTCTTTCCCCCAATTGACTCCTTCACTATCCCATGATTTAGCTGATCAGTTATAGATGGCCCATCCAATTTCTTGCTTCAAAAGGTCTGGTTTTCATTTCCAAAGCAACCCTTTTGGACAGCAGTGAAAGGGAGAAATCTGCTTGATCAGGCCACAAGCTCATCTAGCAAACATTTTTATTACACAGTGACTGAACATGCCTTTGGGAAGCTGAATCACTAATATTCCTTCTTTATTGTTGAGAAAATCCCATGACTTTGGAGACAGTAAATATGTACTGAGATCAGTAGTCATTGCTAGTTTGATTCTTCTTGAATTTGTACATTCTCTTTTTAAAATAATCTAAATCAGTGACCATCACCATACCTGATAACAGCAAATTCCACAGTTTAACTATACATTGTGTAAAGCATTTATTTTTTATTTGTTCCATCTCTGTGTTGTATTTCAATAACAATTTATGTATATAGGTAGTCCCCAATTTAAGAATGAGTTCTGTTCCCAAGGTCTGTCCTGAAGTCGAATTTGAATGTAAGCCAGAATAGTATTATTGTGTAATACTGTACAAGTAGTATCGTGTAATTAACTTGAACGATTGTGTATTTAACTCAAATTTTGCTACAGTAGACTCCATTCTTAACTATAGATCATCTGTAAATCAGGCGTTCTTAACCTGGGGACTACCTGTATGTCCTAATAGCTGATCTTGGTTTTGTATAAATGTTTCAGATTCTGTCATCTTTCTCAAGGTCCTTTTGCATTCTTGAAATCACTTTTTTCAAGTAGTCCTCGGGTTACAACCCTAATTGGGACTGGCATTTCAGTCATTAAGGAAAACATCACATGACTCTGCTACTTAGCGACAGCAGTCCCAGTTGTGGTCCTTAGGCAAGGACCTCATGCTTCTCCTGCCCTAGGCGAACTGCCTCTGCTTCAAGTCCCCCACCCACCTGTCTCCCCCCATCTCTGCCCCTTTGGCTGCCTGCACAGCATGACTGAATGAAGAGGCTGCTATATTCTGCCACCTACCTGCTGCCACCCCCCCAGCTGACCTTTGTTGTTGTCTTCATGTTGCTTCCCCTCCTCTGGGCTTGCTGACACTGGCCAGCCTGAATCCCCACAGTGCAAGGGCGCTGTCATCATTGGGCTTACCTCCACTGCTGCCTCACCATTGCCTTCCTGGCTACTGGGCTTCTGGGAGGACCACCCTGCTTCAGCAGTCTCAGTCCGCCACCAACTGGGAGGGCTCTGCATGCTCTGCACATTCCTGCCCCACACAAAGTTCCTCCTCCACCACTGCCCCGCACAAAGGAGGGAGCCATCTGGAGAGCTCCACCCCACTGGGAAAGGAAGGTGCCAGGGCAGCAAGTCCTCCATGCCGTGCACCACTGCTGGCCAGGGTGATCCTCCTGGCGGGTAGTGAGCTGAGGATGTTTCCACAGCGGCTGAGACTGCTGAAGTGGGGTAGGACCGCCAGGAGTCTGGGTGATGGGGAGGCAGTGGCAAGGTGCCCCAACAGCATGGCCAACAAAGCCCCCACAGCGTGGGGCATGAGGCCGGCCAGTGTCAGCAAGCCCAGTGGAGGGGAGGCGATGTGAAGAAGATGATCAGCTGGGGGGGGGGGGGCAGCAGGACTACCTGTATTCTTCCAGCAATTTGTAAATACATCAAACATGGTAAATTCCTACTTTCATTAAGTAGTTCTTGCTGTATCTTTAGTCTGTTTTCTGAATCTGGATGTACCATATTGGCATATGTGATTAAATCTTTCATCTGAAATAGAAGGCATTTGATGGTGAAGTTAATGGAGAGGTTGACGGACTTATTCTGGTTTTTAGAACATTCCATATTT